CAATCCTCCTGTGGCCTTCTGGCCTCGCACTTTTGCACTGTGTCACGCTCCTCTCCTGTCATCACTTCACGGCTTTAGAGCTGCCCACAGGAGGTCTGCCTCCTCCGATGGGGTCCTTTGGGCCTCGAAAGGGTGCCAGTGGGTGTGATCTCGAGGAATCGCTGCTCTCGGCAAGGTTTCTCCCCACTTAGGTGCTGACTGCATTCCTCTCTGTAGCCCTTCGAAGCCCAGAATTGATTTTTTTTTTCTTTTTTTTGTATCTGGAATCAAACTCAGGACTCTGTACTTGTGAGGCAGGCAACGATACCACTGAGCTAAATCCCTGGCCTTGCTCAGGGAAATCTTATGTTCAGGTTCCTGGAGGGCAACGTCAGGGTCCTGAGTCACAGACTATCATCTGCTGAGAAGCCCACAGGAACAACGGTTCCACAGAAGCAATTGTTCGCTGAGCCTCAGCTTCAGCAGGCAGCCTCCTTAGCAAGGCAGAACAGCAGACATTTCCTTGACATTTTATTATTTCTGTACAACCACCTCAATCTCCAAACATGAGGATATTTTTGACCTTTACTATTAGTCACCGGGTTTTAAAGGGTTTGTATTGTTTTCTTTTCTTTTTTGTTTTCTTTTATGATGACATTCTTCATTCTGCGAAGGCCAGCAGTATGTGCAGAAAAAAGGAGAAGACTCAGAAACAGCAGGGATCTAACAGACACAGGTCACACCCAGCTCACCTGTCCTCCCTGAATGCTGGTGAGCAACAAACACTGACCTTTCCCCAGGGGGGAGGGATGAGGAGAAGGTATGGAAGATACCCTAGACCAGCGGGGTGAACCTACGGCACGCAAGCCATGGCAAGCTGCTTGTGTCATAGGAATCTCTGAAAGGTTCGCCATCGCTGTCCCAAGGTATGTGGTACTGTGTTTGCTGTAGTACCAGAAATTGGAATTTCTCTACAGAAGGCTCAAGCAAACTGACTGCAAGATACAGGACATGACACACAATGGTTGGCCTCTAGCATCTTGCCTTCTGTGCGAGATTTTAAAAGAATATGGAGTAAATACAGGTCCTTTTGCTCCTCCCAAGTGGTGAGTCAGGCATGCATAAAAATGAACTCAGTGCTGCAGTGTCCTGGTGTTTATCTGCACGCCAGTACTCTGGAAGCTCACCTTGCACAATTGGAAAAGCTGACCAGGAGGGAAGTCACCCTTTGCACTATTCTGTGGAAAGACAGTAGCCGTTTGTCCTTAGCAAAATGTTTGAGTACAAATAAAACTGATTGATTGCATATGGGGAGTGTTAGGTGTGGGTGTGTGATGGGAATTCTGCAGTCTTAAAAGGAAATTAAATTCAGAGCATTTCTGAGAAATTGATTTTTGTGAGGAGAAATGGCCTATCGATACTCACCTGCCACCATCCATCCTCATGTCCAAGGGACCGTCCTTCTGCAGGGAAAAACCTCTTTCAGGAGTGTCAAGTTGCATGGAGGAGCACCCGAGATCCAACAGAACTCCATCTAAAGTCCCAGGTTGCACCCCAGCCTCCAGGAGTAAGGCTTCCACCTGGCTGAACTGGCCAAGCAGAGCTCGGATCTGTTTCCTGGGAACAAATCGAGGAGGAGATGAGAAAACACTGCTGTTACACTAGAGTCTTTCTAGGCATGGGGGAGCGTGTCCTGCTCCTGGATGACTTCACTAACGTGTACTGCCTGGGTGCCAACTGCACACGGAGCTCTGTGCACATTGAAACAACACATCTGTGGGTGCAAACACCTCAGTGGGTGCAACGCCAGTTTATTCTCACTGCAAAACATAATGCGCTGTACACCACTGCGAAGGTATGTGATACATCCATACGTCAGAGCAATTCCTTTGTAGCACCAGGTTTTCCAATTTCTCTCTACAAAATTCCTAAATCTATGATTAAAGAGTTCCTATGTGGTATGCATAGGAAAAAGCACATGCCATTCTGTTAAAAGAATTACTTTAATGAGCAGGTCAAATTAAATGTAATAAAACACATCCTATCAAGAAAGTGTGGTATATATACACTCTGGAATACCATTCAGCCATAAAACGAGTGAACGCATGTCAATGGAGACAACATGGATGGAACTGGGACCCTTCTTGTTGGGGAAGACCATCCCCCATGACCTTACAACCTCACTTGTGAGATCTGAAGTCCACCTCGGAGAAGCTGAGAGGGGAGTGGCGGTGGCCCAGTCCTGCCGAGCTGCAGCTTGGCGCAGTGGATCACAGTTAGCTAGGAGCAGGCAGAGCTGCTGTACACAGCAAGTGACCACAGATAATAACAGTGCACTCACTGTATCCCGCAAAAGGCCAGGAGAAAGGCATTTGAAAGTTTTCACCATAAACAAGTGATAAATGTGTGAGGAGACAGACGTTTGGCCTGATTTACATATCGTGCCATGTATACATGTACGGAAACATACTCCTCCAGTAACATGTACAATTCTTCTGCTGTTAGGTACCAGTTAAATAAATTTAATTAAAAAAGCAGAGATCATAGAAAAATGGCATGTCAAATATGTCCAGTGCAACTGTTTTAGCATCTGTGTGCCTTCTTCTGACTGAGGACAGGGTTGCTGTGCAGCTGTGTGCTGAGGGAGGAAACTCGGCCAAAACGACTCTTGCAGAAGTGATGTTCAGCTCTCGGCAGGAACTGCGAAGGGAAGCGAGCACTGAGAACGCACAGGCAGGCAGGCTCGAGGATGCCCTTCTAGCCATGCTAATTCCCCTTCCCATTTACTGAAAAGTGAGCGGCTGCCTTTGGGGCTCTTTGGAAGCCTTGGGACAACTGGCATTCACGTCGGAAGGGGAATGAGAGAGGAAACCGGGTAACACTCTCCACGTCTCATTCCTTGCTCTGCAGGTGGGTGGGCTTGGGTTTCTCCAGTGCCGGAGGACTCACTTTCAGGGCATTTCCCTATGTGTTAGGCCACGTGAGGGAACTTTCATCTCACTGATAAATTTTTTCTCAAATTCTTACGGAGAAAGTGATTTTCAGACTTATTCTCTGAATCCTTCCTGAATATTGGCTGTGTCAGGGACCGTGCTCCCCGGAGGACTTATGAAGGGAACACAAAGATTAATGAAATACGGCTTTCTGAGCTTGATCTAAGAAGAGAACTATACATAAGTTAATACTCTGGAAACAGCCTGATGGGAGGTGCAATGACAGACAAGTGAACAATTTGCTCTGTTTGTTTCTGGAAAATATGAGCGCTAATACTAGCATGGGGAACTAGAAATAGTAAAATAGTAAAATCTTGAGTTTGGAAGGCAATGAAAAATCATTTACACGGTAACTCAACTGACATCTGAATCTTCTCCTGATCCAACATCACGACCACGCGTGGGTCTAGAGGGAAACACTGTGGAGTCACTTCCTTTTCACCTCTTTGGGTTGGAAGGGTTCCCATCCTCAACCTGCAGGGATGGCCAACACTGGACAGGAGGGACTGCTCCGGGGTCTAACCCTCATGCCCTCACCACAGGGGAAAGGACACAGTGGGTACTCAGGGAGAGTGGGAGCAGGTCTCTAGCAGAAGCAAGCCAATGAGAGCCTTCTGGGTGTCCCAGGAGGATGTGATCTGCTTGCTTGCCCAGTGCAGAGGGGCAGCAGGGCACTGAAACCACACATCAGTGACGTGCAGAAAGAGCACTGGGGTCCTTTGAAAAGAAGGTCATCTGACTAGTGAATCTTTTCTGCATGACCACAGTGGGGAGCGGAGCATGCTATTCACTCATCTGGGAAAGAACTGCCTTGTATACTGTTCTGCTCTTCTGGAGGATCCTATGATGTATGTCGGCTACTAATCAATGTAAGAGTGAAATAAAATGATGGTTATGGTCCTTGAACTCCATTTGAGGACATCGCTGTCTTCTGCAGGTACAAGAAACAAATACTATTTGGCCTTACTTTGAGGTCTCACATCACAGTCACCCAGCACGCATTTGAACACTCTCGGGGAATGCCAACGGTGAAGTGTGTGCTTAATGTTAAGTCAATCCCTGGAACTGCACAAAACCAAGTCAAAACAGAGCAGAAAACAAAGAAGAAAGACTGCTGTCTGCTGGCCACTTCTCTGGTTGAGGGGTTCACCTCACATAACATGTGTTCCTAGTACTGCTTCCTCTAAGATGAGTGCAAACCCACCCCCGCAGCAGCCCTGAGCTCTCCTGTGTCTGCCAGTTGCTCTCTTCCAGGGAACCTGAAGTTTCTGGCACACACTGTGGAAGACTGGCGGGGAGCATCCCATTATCTAATCCAGCACTGTCTCCTGTGAAGGCTCTGTAACTGCAGCTAACACCTGCAACTAGTGGGCTCTGCATAAAGGACCATGCCATCGAGAACACAGGCAGGCCTTACCCCTTCAACTGAGAGATCATAAGAGCAAACAGTGGATTTTGTCAGAGGAAGAAGAAATTTGCCTCAAGGCCTAATATCAGCCTCTACCAGAGAGTTCCAGCCCTACAGACCTCTCACCTGCCCCAGCCAAAGGTCACAGGGGGAAGTTTCTAGAGACAAATTCCTTTACAAGCTACAATACAGGGCTGGGGAGATAGCATCATGGTGTAATGCAAGGGTAGCACATGTCCAGCACATGGAAGGCCACAGGTTCAATCCCCAGTACTGCCAAGAAAAAAAAAATTTTTTAAAGGGCCCGGGATGTAGCTCAGTGACACAGTGCATGCCTGGCAAGAGCAAGGTCCTGAGTTCAATCCATAGCACACACAAAAAAAAAAGAAAAAGAAAGAAAGAAAGATAGGAAACAAGTTAGAATATAGACACACAGTATATGTACCACACACACATTCATTCTCCAGCATGCCGTACACACATTTGCCCCCATATCTGTGCCCTACCAGTCCTGCTTCCCTGGAGAATCCTGAGAACCCCAGCTGGAGGCAGACTTCTGATGAGCTAAGCTAAGATCCCCGCACACAGCATTCACGGGGTCCCTGTAAGGTTCTCAGAGGCCTGGCCAGTGAGGGACCAAAGATCTTTCTCAGGAATCTGGAGAGAGGAGAGTCCTCTTTCTTCCACGGAGCTGGAGGGGGGTGGGGGGCGGCCCTGATCTTTGCTAGGGTGGCTACAGGACATGGCCGACACCTCAGAATGGAAAGGTTAATCAGGACATTGGCTCCACCTTCACAGGAAACCCAACTTGCCCCCAAATTACTTTTGGTATTGATACCATTTTGAGCTGAGTGAAAACATCCCTGCCGTGGCCATTAGGCCCAAGGCTTCTTTCCGTAAACCATACATTTCTTGTTTTTTCAGCCAATCTCCATATTACCGTACTGTTTTGCTCTTGTCCAGTTTGCCTCTGTTCCTATGTCCAAATTCTATAACGATTGAAGCAGAATAAATTCTTGCCTCCTGCACTGTAGTTATCACATCACCATAGCTCAAGATCCAAAGAACGTCAGAGTCCCTTGCATGCTGCTAACTTTGGCTGCGCCTAATACTCTAGTCTTTCCACGTGCTCTCCAGGCCTGGCTGTTCCCTACCAGAATTCTGTGCGCAGGCCATTCCATTTGCCTCTTCTGATGCAAGCACAATCTCCACCCTGTCCATGTGCTGTAGCCCTTTGGGACTCCCCTATTGTCGTCACTGCAGAGATCTTAGCCCTGAAGCAAACACCTCCCACCCATCACTGTTGGCCCCGCAATCCCACAGGCACTACAGCTATCACTCTGCTTGCGACTAATATACTCGTAAAGTAAATGTACAATTCTGTAAGGGGTGTCAGCATTCTTGAGTGTCCAAAAGATTAGCTGTTTAATATACAGTATTTCTACGGCTTAGTGTTTGATGATGAGTATATAATGAACATATAACCCTTGCGGTAAAAAACTCATCATCATGATGTACAAGCAGGAAGAGATCCTAAAAACAGCGCAGGTGTGTTGACACAGGCCTGTAATCCTAGTGACCCGGGAGGCTGAGGCAGGAGGATCACCAGTTTGATGCCAGCCCGGGGAACCGGAGACCTTCAAAAAATATTGTTAAAAAGTGAGAGGCTTGAGGAATGTACCGCAGAGCAAGCAAACACTGGGTTCCATTTATACTACTGGAAGGCTGGGGAAGGGATCATGATTTAAGGACTTAAGGCAGAGTTTTCTGAGGCTCTGGCAGCTCTGTTTCTAGAATTGAATTTTTTTCTCAGAAGAAGGAAATACCCATGAAATTTGCTATGCGGACTTCAGAACGTGGGGCCCCCTCACACACATTCAACTATGCTGAGGTTAATTTTCCTGGATAACAAATTCCATGCCTACTTTTCCTTTTTGTCTTCCTTCTTCCCTCCTTCCTTTCAACCATTTTTTTCCTACTGTTTCTTTTTCTCCTTTCCTGTTTCCTTTCCTTCTCTCTTTTAAGTTTTATTTTCAATAATTTTGCAAAAACATTTTACAGATATTATAAGACAAGGAAAAGAAAAGTATGAGTTGGATGGGGACACAATGTTTACAAAAGTAGCGATTCCCCCGGACAGTGAGATGAAACGACAAAGGCACCACCTGTCCCAGCTTTTATCCTGATCATCTGCAGTCAGCTTGTGCCCTCCAGGG